TTGTTTTGTTTAATAAACCATTAAAGAATGAAGTTAAGACCTTAAAGAAAGTAAATGCAGCGAAAAATATTTTTTTTATTTATATAATATTTATAGTAATAAGTGGAAAATTGAAACAGCCGCAAAAAACGGGCCACTTGCTCATAAAGTTGCTACCGGTGTGAAATTGGCCACTAAAGTTGGCGACTAATATTACGGAATATAAACGAACATTCAAGAATTGCAATACCGAATGTTCACATTTTTTACAATTTTTGCTTTTTTTATTAAAGGTTTCATCGACTCTCAACCTCCCCACTTTAATTTAAATAATAATTAGCATCACCGCTAGCACATAAACAAAGTAGGTATTTAAATTGTTCCTTTTTACAAAAATAATACTATCTCCGCTCTCATACATAATAAGTAATTCATTTTTTCTGGAAAAATCGTATTCGGGGTGTATTTTGAAATGCTGAAATTTCATCGACTCACAAGTACCGGAAGGGTTGTTTTAACAACCCCGAATCGTGAAAATAATATCTCTGCTGTCATACATAATAAGTAAGTACTTTATTTTTTTCTGGAAAAATAGTATTCGGGGTGTAATTTGAAATGCTGAAATTTCATCGACTCGCAAGTACCGGGAGGGTTGTTTTAACAACCCCAAAACATGAATATAATAACCAATATCTCCGCTCTCATACATAATAAGTACTTCATTTTTTCTGGAAAAATTAGTATTCAGGGTGTATTTTGAAATGCTGAAATTTCATCGACTCGCAAGTACCAAAGTACCAAAACGTGAAAATAATATCTCCGCTCTCATACATATTAAGTACTTCATTTTTGGGGTCGTTAAAACAACCCTTCCGGTACTTGCGAGTCGATGAAATTTTAGCATTTCTAATAACACCCCGAATACTAGTTTTCCAGAAAAAATTTAGTACTTATTATGTATGAGAGCGGAGATATTATTATTTTCACGTTTTGGGGTTGTTAAAACAACCCTTCCGGTACTTGCGAGTCGATGAAATTTCAACACTTCAAATAACACCCCGAACACTAATTTTCCAGAAAAAATGAAATACTTATTATGTATGAGAGCGGAGATATTATTATTTTCACGTTTTGGGGTTGTTAAAACAACCCTTCCGGTACTTGCGAGTCGATGAAATTTCAGCATTTCAAATAACACCCCGAATACTAATTTTCCAGAAAAAAATGAAATACTTATTATGTATGAGAGCGGAGGTATTATTATTTTCACGTTTTGGGGTTGTTAAACCAACCCTTCCGGTACTTGCGGGTCCATGAAATTTCAGCATTCTACAGAAAAAGTGAAGTACTTACTATGTATGAGAGCGGATATATTATTTTCACGTTCTGAGGTTGTTAAAACAACCCTTCTGGTACTTGCAAGTCGATGAAATTTCAGCATTTCAAAATACACCACGAATACTAATTTTCCAGAAAAAGTGAAATACTTATGTATGAGAGCGGAGGTATTATTATTTTCACGTTTTGGGGTTGTTAAAACAACCCTTCCGGTACTTGCGGGTCCATGAAATTTCAGCATTCTACAGAAAAAGTGAAGTACTTATTGAGAGCGGAGATATTATTATTTTCACGTTTTGGGGTTGTTAGAGATCGATTTCCTCGTAAACGATTTGACTTCAAAATTTCCTAAAGACCTTTTTTTTTTGGACATCAATTTCTCCGGGTCTGTCATGAAATAGATCTGGCAACCCTATGTGAGACCCAAGTCGAACGGGATTACCGGGAAGCAAACCTACTGCTCTAGTCGTTAAAAATGCATTGAATATGATTCGATGGAAAAAATTCACACGGCAAACTATTTTCATTTTGACGTTAGTGGAATAATTTTATGTATACGAATAGTACTAGATGAATGCAATAAATTAAATGTTCGTTAATAAGAAGTAAGCCAGAATAGGTACCTGTAAAATTGAAAAAAAAATATATGAAATTTTCAGACTTTGCTTTTTTAAATCGGGGGAATTTATTGTACATGTGTGGTGCAACTTTGTACTGGTAATTAAAAGGCATGTACCTCGAAATGGCGTGAATGTAAAAGTAAAATAAGATATTTCGCGGCACGGAAGTCTTTAGTGCCAGTTTTTTTTTGACGTATCACAACTAATGGCAATAGTAGAGTAATATAAATGCATAATGTAATGTAATATTAAACTTGCAAGGTTTTTTAAAGGGTTTACTGTTTGTCTTGAAATTGAAACGGGTAATTTTAGGGGTACTTACATCAATGCGGAGACAGCTAGCACGTTAAGCTTATGTAGAGCGGTAGTTACGAAGAAATGTAAATAATATCTTGACAATAATAGAATACCTGTTCATATCGGGGCGTAGCTACACATTAACGTTTAAAAAAGGCCTAGTAAGGTAAAATAACGGTTCGCCGCTATCCTACAGACATGTTTGACGTTTGGCGTGAAATTATTTTGACATAATTAATGTGACGTTTCTAACGACGTTCGAATTTTCTCCGGGTGGGCGTGTCCCAATGCACAAATCTTTCCGGTTTATGAGACGGCCGTCTGTCATCGAGGAGACCCCAGAAAAAGGCAAAAATTAAGTACGAAAACGCGAAGATAACGTTACAAAAATGCTCCAGAACGACCAAGGTCGAACGACCGGACACTCGGTGCCCAGTCGCGCGCAGCATCGCAGCTTCGGCGATAGGAATTCTGCGGGGCAAAATGCAGGTATTCGAACCTCGCGAAAGGGCGCATTTGAACGTATTTACGGCCGCATTTCGAATCCCGCGTGTGATTTCGCGGAGAGTTCTACATAAAAAGTTGGAATAAGGCATCCGGTCCATAAATACGAGTATTTTCCGCACGGCTTTAAATGAATAACGCGGAAAACGGGTAAAATAAAAAATAATTACGGGAAATCGGAGAGGCGATCTATCTCATTCTACGTGCGTTGCACACGAAAAATAGGCCGCTCCCCTCGAGGACCTCCAGGAGAACGGATAATTCGCGGTGAAGGCGTCCAGGAATCGCGTTCTAGGTATGACGTTGCAACGCGGGAAGAGCCTTAGGTCCGATAAATGGGCTCTTTTCGCGGCCCAGTGTGGGAGCGAGAGGAGATTGCAGATTTTAAAGATATAGAATTTGATACCACTTGTAAACCTTAAAGAAGGTCAGTGTACAAAATAATATTTGATGGCATACCTTTAGTGATTTTATATTATAAACAAATATACAATAAACAAAATACTGATGTTTCATAATGTGTCACAGAGCACAAAGTAATAGTTTATGTCAAAATATACTTATACTTGTGGCGGCTAATGTTTACTATGAAATTTATAGTAACTCTTAAACGGTTTGATATAAAGGGTTTTTCAATGAGAACGATATGATTTTAAAATAAAATAAAATTAAAATTATGTCAGATACAATCAAACTTTTTCTACTATCTTAAAGTACAGTCAATAAAATTTATGTTTTGTATAACATATTGTTTAAGTGAACAGTTGCATTCCTTGAAATTATCCTTATGTCAAACTTTTCTTGTAATACATCGATAGTTTCATTAGCAGTGTGACATGTGGTACCGTCTTGCTGGAACCACATATCCTCCAAATCAAGTGCATCTAAATTTGGCCACAAAAATCTCTTAACACTGTCGACATCGTTGACCATTCACTGTAACTGCATCTCATACCTAATTTTTGAAAAAATGGTCCGATGATGCCGTAAACCATACCATACAGTTACCTTTGGCGGATACAAAGGTTTCTCGTGCATTTGTTGTGGATTTACTTCATACCAAAAATGGCAATTTTGCTTGTTAACGTATCCACTTAATCAAAAATTAGCTTCATCTGAAAAGATAAATTTTTTCGCAAAATTAGGATCCCTCTCAAGTTGTTCTAAAATTTTACAAAATCCACCAAGTTGTCATATTTTTAAGCCTTAACTGTTGAGCACGACGATGAATTGTTAAATTTACTGGTGTTTTTACATCGTGAAGAGTAAAATTATTTTCAAATATCTCAACGATGCGACGATTGGCAGCAAAGAAGGGCAATTATTTGGACCAAAGTTTTCGAGAAGTTCGCGATAAGTGTTCACAGAAGAACGTCTTGAAGCGTGTATTTAGCCATAATAATTTGTTAGAATGTACTGAATATAAATGCCAACTGGTGACAGGTATAACTTTATTACCACGGTTACCATATCGTTTCAAAATCGTATCATTCTTATTGAAAAAACCCTTTACAACATTAACTTAAATTTCAGTAACAGAAGTATAACAATAATTTTATAAGTAAAACGAAATTATGTTGATTGGACTCAAGATAATATTCTAACAATTAGCATTAATTAAAATTCAAAGCAATTGAGTTATTGGTTTAATCCGTCAATGGAGAATCATCTGATCATCGATCTCAAATTTTCCCATGATTAAAGCATGTAGTCGTAAAGTTCCCCAAATCTAGTTAGTTCCAAATCTTCATCATGTTTCATAAACATTTATGTTTTAAAGATGTTTACTTCATATGTAATTTATATGTCTATTATAAGAGAAGTATTATGTAAGTACATAGCTACTGTTTGTGTTATGTCAATTATTCCATTCAAAGCCAAAATTTCGGCCATGGCCTGCTTAAATGGGATCCATTCTCATGGACCCCCATCCCTAGGGGTCGATATAGACCACTTTGGGAATCATAAATTCAACAATATACAAATCTGTCAACTAGTGACTAAGAGGTACTGTCATTAAGAGCTACACACTTTTGGTGTTATCGACTGCCCTGTAAATTAAATTAATACATTTAGTTCCTGATATGCTTTCTAAGAAAAAAGGTATTTTTCACTTTCATTTGAAAAACGAGTCATTATGGAGTTATTACTTTTTTTAAATTATTATTATTAATTAAAATAATATTTATTACTGTAAAATTATAGATTTTTTTTTATTCCAGTTATAATTTTATATTTTATTTTATATTTATTCGTTTTCAGAGTCCAGATGGAAAATATATTGCTAGTGGAGCTATTGACGGAATCATTAACATATTTGACGTAACTTCAAACAAATTATGGCACACACTAGAAGGACATGCCATGCCAATTCGTTCTTTATGCTTTTCACCTGATTCTCAGCTATTATTAACAGCCTCAGATGATGGTCACATGAAACTATATGATGTGTAAGTCTTCAAAATTGTTATATTATTTAATCAAAGGACGAACTTTAAGTTGACTGCTACCACAGATAAATGTTTATGTTACTACTCTTACACAAGACATGCTAAGATTTCCATACTTCACTTTCTCCTTGCTTTGATTTATCCTAATTACTAAAGTTTATAAATATGTAATTAAACTGTTTTATAATTATCATTTTTTTCTCCCAATAAAAACAGTATTAGTTTTCATCAGTATGCTAGAGGTGAGATTACCGATGAACAATTTAGCTATTTGGATTTTTATCTACAGCCATATTTTGAATGGGATAAAGTATACATGATATGTCATAAATATCATTGCTCTTCAATACCTACTGTCACAAAGCAATGCTTTGTACCTACTGGTACAGAGTGTAGGTGCTATGGCATACTAATGAGAACTAAAAAGTTTGAAACTGGTGGCTCCTTAACTATTTACTATATATTGTCAGGTGTAATTCAATTATATTCCAATATATTCATATGGTCTGTAGTAGTTGATTTCGACATATCATTAGTTAAAAAAGTTTATTCTACCTAATGAGGTACTAGTCATGCTTTTATAACACCTACAAGTTAGTGGGTCACTCTGTGCCCGTAGCTACAAAGTACACCAGATCAGTAGGTATTGATAGTATTGACATTTAAGATCTGGTATACAGGGTGATCCACAAATGATGACCAAAAATGAAATCTCGTATTCTTTGGTGAATTTTAAGGGGTCTTTCCTATAAAGTTTTTATCTAGGATGCTTCGTTAAAAAGAGACAGGGCGTTAAACTTCAAAAAATATTTTTAATTTTTTTAAATAATTTAAAAACTAGTAAGTGAAATAATTTGAAATTGGGCACATGTATTTATGTAAACATTGTCCAAAATCTGAAGGCTTTTCTTAAAATTTACATACTCCAGTGGCGCAGATGCAGGGTATTGGTTGCATATTTTTCTAAATAAAATAGTATGCCACTGCTTTACGGTGACAACCATGATATTTTCGGATTTGTCTTTCAATTTTCTACAAATTACTACTCTTATGTTTTTCGAAAAAGCCTGATTTTCGAGTAAAACCTAAAAAATTAACTGAAAACTGTCGAATTCTTTGATCTTTACGTAGTGTTTGATCGACATGGTCCGTGGTGGAGACATTGGAAGTTCGAATCGAGCCCCACGTTGGGCACCATGTCGAGTCATATTTGCGAATTTTGAAGTGATTCAGCAACGTGAGCTCGCCGCGAAGACGACGAAGCAGAGCTTCGAGCCCCACGTCGAGCGCCATGTCGTGAATTGTGATCTAAATTATTGGTTTCCCTGACCTGGGTCCGCAATAGAGACGCACGGAGTTTTAATGGATCGTCACTTGGGACGCCAGGTCGCATCAGATTTTCAAGTGACTGTGGTCTGTGGTGGATATGGCTTACAGACGTGGTGTTTAGGACATGAGCTCGTGGGGGGAGATCTCGACGACGATGGTCAAGCCCCACGTCGAGCGCCATGCCGGGTTAGACTTTCTAAATAGGGACCACTTAGGCGGTGATCGAATGTTCGGGGGAAATCATGAGAGTTGACAGAATAGGTACCAGAATTGCTGATATGGAAAGAGCCGGCTACGTCGCCTACGACATAGTCGACTAAGGAGTTTTCGCATGCCATGGCATCCGAACGAGATGCGCATTGCTCCCGCTGGGTACCATTACGTGGAAATGCTGTGTGTACTGTATTGCTGTCTCCAACGGCTCCACGTTCCGGGACACCCGATATCGGAGGTAGGCCGCTATCGGGGCCGGACCGCGAACCGTGGTTAGGCTCATGGGATTCCCCGGACCCTACCAGTTGGTACGTAGTTATAACCTTGTCCCGAGTATTCGTGGGTGACCCACTCCGTGGTAACTCTTGAGAACGACTACTCGTCTCCATGGGCACGTCTTGAGGGATACTCGAGGTGGTATCGGTAACTCGTGTAGTCGCGGACCTCAGCCTGTACACCGGCACTGTGGCATCGCCGCGCCGCATACTACTACGAGCTACCACCTTCGGCTCCTCAGACTCTACGGAGCACCGAGATAGCGTTTGGGGGAACGAAGTCTCGTCCAGCTCAGTGTTGATCAAAGAATCACGATCTGATTTATTTGTTGTACCTTCGAGGGCACCAATCCTCGTAGCACTGGATATCGATGTCGCGGGATACATCTTACCCCGTACGACAATGTCGGAGCAAGCTCTTTTGCTCCGAAAGTCTTGTAGAAACACTAACTTTCCTTTAAATGTGGGTCTCTCGAGGGAGCCCTTTAAATTTTGGAGTACGCCGCCGCAATGACGTGCTTACTATTGCTTTGAATCCATAGATTGCAAAGAAAATATCTCGTAGGGGTTTGACGAGGAATGTTGCCTCGACGAGTGACCGCCTAGAGGTTTGACGAGGAAAATTGCCTCGGATTTGCAGATCTCGATAGAGTCTGATTGATAGGACTCGTAGGAGCCTATATGCGTACCCTGTACCGAGGTGCGGGTCTCTCGATGGAGCCGGCACAACCGGAGTCAAGGTCTTAGACGGAGGTTCTCAGCCTCGGACGGTATGCAGGTCTCTGAAGGAGCCTGAAATGTATCGCTGTTTTGATGCAGGGGACTATCGAACAGGATCTTCGCCTCAGGTTGGGCTACCTCGGGCGGTACGCCGGTCTCTGGAGGAGCCTGGGGTGTCGATGCAGGAGGCTATCGCACAGGATCTTCGTCGGAGGTGGTCAGTCTCGGACGGTATCGCAGGTCTCAAAAAGGATCCTGGAATTTACCGCTGTTTTGATGCAGGGAACAGGGTCTTCACCTCAGGCTAGGCTACCTCGGGTGGTATGGTATGTCTCGTGAAGCGAGTAGTGGTTGCTAGGCACTATAAATGTCCCCGTCAAGATATGGCAGCCTTGACGAAAGCCTCGTGAAGCGAGCCTGTGAGCTTGAGCTCCAAAAGGTCTTGAGTTTGATGACAGGGTTTTTTCAATCAAACCGTGGAAGATATGTTAAAAGTATTTATTGAACAGAATTAACAGACAATAAAGGTTCACAATTAACATATACAAGTTATTTACCATAGAATAAGATTCATTGCATATTTGCTCTGTGTCGTTCTTCGCACCATGTACTCCCACTGAAGTACTGCAAACGTCGGAAGTAGACGTTCGATCGCTTTCCTCCGATCTCCATGATTTTGGCGGACCGCTCGTGAATCGTCCGCCAAATTTTCCAGTAAAAAGCGCCCGTCGTCGCTGTTGACGTCGGATCTCATTCCCCTCTGGCCTCTCCGGATAGTTGATGTCGGCATCGGGGATTTTGGAGTTTTTTCCCATTTTGAAAAACTCTACCCGCGGTCTCGGCTTAGGCTATCGATCATCGCATCCGACCGCCAGAGCGGTGGGACCCTCGAAAGACGGTCATTTCGGCCCAAAGACGGGGAAATTGGAAACATCGGTGAAATTTTCCCCGTCAGCTAGGAGGACGTGAAAACCTATTATGGCTTAGCTGGTCGTTAGTAGTCGCACGATTCGGCTCGAATTTGGATATGTTAACCGCCTAGGGATGCTCTAGTGTGGTTTTGAGGTTCGGCCAAAATTGAATGAGCGGAAATCCGCGTTTCCCCGTATAACGGCGTTTTGACTCATCCGATTCGGACGAAAATTTAGAGAGATAATGCCAGCGACTTGAGGAGTGCTGCATTAAATTTTGGCACCGATCCCTCAATAATTTTTCGAGTTATTGACGATAGCGTCCTTGACCAATTCGAAAGGTTAGTAAAATTTTAGATGGTAGTTTCCAAATATCGCCTTGAAGCGTCCCGGGGTTCGTCTGCAGGTTGCGGTGGTCGCTGCAGTGGATACTGAGCGCAGGGAAGGCAGACCCAGGCGAGATCGGTCGCGATGCGGGTGACATTGGAAACATTGAAATTGGTCTTTAGGCTTTGGAAGCGCTATCGCCGGGAGGATCGATGTCATGTTATGGGGCGACGTCCGCACTGAGATGCAGAGTCGCGGAAATTGCTCTCAGACGGTATCGAGTTCGATGTCTGAAATGATACCGTGGAGGCTTTTTTGATTTGCCCGGCCGACGGCGATTAGATTAGTTATGCAACCGTGGAGGGTTGAATTGGAAAGGTAGGCGAATTTGATTTTTTCGCCTCCTTCCCAATTCAACGGTTTTAGGCATATCCGTAGGTACAAGACGGCGTCCAGGAATATACTGAGTGTTCTGAAATTCTGAAGCTCGCTCGAAGGGTGGAATACGACAAAACACTTTTACTTAAATGACATGACAAGCACTAATCATTCGGTTATTTATTCGAATAAGGAAATTAATAACATTAGTCATTATTTTAATGATTTTATTTGAGTAAATGCTCAAAAATACCTCCATTTCAACGAATACAGGCCCGACATATTTTTAGTAATGAAAATGTAATTTTTTGGAAATTTATTGTTGCTTGAATCTGATGAAAAGCATTATTTATTCTTTCTTCTAACTACTCAGAATGTCAAAGTAGCTATCGCAGCCCACTATGTAATTTTAAAAAGCATTACCTATATTCAAATATCGAAGTGTGTTCTCAGTTCGTTTTTTAAGTTTTACTCGAAAATCAGGCTTTTTTCAAAAAAACCATAAAAGAGTAGTAATTTGTAGAAAATTGAAAGACGAATCCGAAAATATCATGGTTGTTACCGTAAAGCAGTGGCGTACTATTTTATTTAGAAAAATATGCCACCGATATCCTGTATCTCCACCACTGGAGTATGTATTTTGGACAATATTTACATAAATACATGTGCCCAATTTCAAATTATTTCACTTATTAATTTTTAATTTATTTCAAAAAATTAAAAATATTTTTTAAAGTTTTTAACAAAGTGTCCTAGATAAAATCTTTATAGGAAAGACTCCCCTTAAAATTCACCAGATAATATGAGGTTTCATTTTTGGTCACCATATGTGAATGACCTTATATGC